CACACACACACACACACACACACACACACACACACACACACTCCCCCCCCGATTCTTCAGTCTGTAACCATTGTTGGATTGGATCACATTTCTGGGTTCAGCGAATTGGAGCCGCATGTCTGGCATTCCTCAGACTAAAGGTTTCTACTTCCTCCACTACAAAGACCCCCTTTGTACCCAGCAGGCCCAGATCCTCAGCCAGTGAAAGAGAAGTGGTGTGGATCACTAAAGCCTTACCTCGTTTCCAGAGGGGAGAAATCGAATCACGGTAGAATTTGCTGACCGACAATGGGATGGTGATGGTGAAGCAGTGTATGAACTGAAGGGCAGTGGGATCCTGGGAGAGATTAATGGACTTCCTGTCTGCTAATGTCATGGAAGGACTTTTTTTTTTTTTTTTTTTTAAACACCTGACATTAAAATCCATGTCCGGCCTTCACACTGAGCACTTTGCATTCTTGGCTCCCCGTGCACGTGTCCTATCACTGCCCATCACTGAGAAACATCTGACTGTCCTAAATGCTTCATCAGCATCCTGTTTGGCCCGACTCTTGACTCTTACCCAATTTGTACTTTGTTATTGTGGCCAAAGTAACCTCTCAAAAGCTTGTATAAGTAAAGTTTATCATATCTCAATGTCTTTTCAGGAAGTTTCTTTCAGCTGGATTACACAATTTGAGAAGGGAAATAGATTTCCTGTTTTCAGCCCTTCTGGTGGACTTTCTTCAGTTACTGATTTCGAGACTTTATCATGGCTCATGGAGTGCCATAAGATAGTATTGTATCTTAAACAAATTTAGCTACACTGCAATCGATCCTAGTGTAACGTAATGTGCCGTGATGTACTGAAACGGTACTTTATATTTATTGAAACATGAAGAAATATAAATCCAATATACGGAAGAAAACAGTCAATTTTTACAATTTCATTGGAAATTGGCAACATTTGCTGAAGTATTTGGGAAGTTTTTTTTGTCTTTCAATTAAGTAGTCTTCAGGAATAGTTCTCCAGGCTTCTTGAAGTATTATGTATGTATTATGACACATGACACACATTTATAATGCTAAATCTTAATGGTTGCTCACCTATTATATGTTGCATAACTTTCAATAATATACTTTTTAAGGTATTAGAGCATGTTGTAGTGCATCATAGTGAACTTTAACATAACACACATGCACAACAGGGGCGACAGTGGCTCAGGTTGCCCCCTACACATCCAGTGTGAGTGTGATAAAAGTGCTAGGCTATGGGACTCGTAGTAGAAAGTGCTTTGAGTGCTCAAACTGAGTATAAATGTGCTCTATAAGTACCAGTACATCCAGTTACCACTTACATGTGTTAACACAACATACCAGTGTGTTACAATGGTATTGCTATATTAGATTTGGCTATTTAACACAGTACACACTGAATTATTAAATTGCGTCCAAAGATATCTTTTGTTAACCTGCTATATTTGAGCATATTTTGTGATACCAAAGGTTACTTTATTAATCCTTCATGTCCAGATTTTAGATTTACACAAACAAATATCATGGTAACCACAGCAACTACAGCAGATAGTCATAAGTGTATAAGTGCAAATTGTAGTGCGTGTGCTTGGCAGGCGAGCCGTATAAACTTGATAGTGCTGTATTTCTAGACGTGCCTGTCAACATCTGTTGTTTCCACAGGTGTCCCCCAAAGGCCTAATGCCTCTTTTTATGTATTTATGCACACACAAGCTCACCGCCCAGCAGCTCCGTTCTGCTCAGCTATGTTAGCTATGCAGTAAACCAGCAGGCCTGCAGATCTGTTGCTATACATCCAGACTGTAGACTGTCAGCCACAGCTGGCTTACCTCAGGTCTGCATGTGCTTGTGTGAGATAAAGCAAAAGCTGTTATTGTGTGAAGTTGTATGTCTTTCACATTATGGAATATTTTGAGATTGCATGAATAGACCAGAATGTGTTTTCCACATTATTTCATGTAGATTCATTGCATTAATTGCATTGCATTTATTTATTTCTTGATCACAACAACAGTGAGCATTTAATGGCATTCTACAGTTTCCGCTTATGTCATTGTGCCCAACAGCAAGACACAAGACAGGCTACGGTTAATAGGAGGCGAGAGAGGATGGAGGACATATCGAAAGGACAGAATAAGGGAGGACAGGGTGTGTGTCTTTCTTCCAGATTTAGAGATCCTGTGGGAGAACAATGACAGGAGCTAATTAGATGACAGTTACCAGGTCTTTGTGTGTGTGTTAGCTGTGGGATTTCCTCTTATCTTTCCATTTGGCAGGAAGATGACCTTAAAGCAGAGGCTGGTCTCAGATGCAGAGCTAACGCAGTAACGACTCTAAACAGCTAACAAAGAAGGAAACATCTGCTATTAAAAGTTATTAGCAAAACGCTTCCATAGAGGGTCGAATTTTAAATGCACCATGTTGAAATTGCAGTGGATTTACGTTGGATTTATTGCTATAAATGCACTAACGTGCAGGTAAATTCACAGAAATGTGTGCAGACATAATAACACAGCAACTTCACACTGCAGCTCAGATACGCATTTCCTCTCATTAGGTTAATAAAAACAGTCTATTCATTGTGAAATGTCAACCGATTCTACAGCATGCCCTTTTAGTCGCAAGGTTTTATTTTTCCACTGATTTGTTCCAGGCTACGAGCTCTGGAATAAAAACAATCGAACAGCCCATTGTGGTCATGATCGATTGCGAGACGGTCATGAAAGAAATAAATTCTTGTGGTCTTGTGGGGGATACCACCTTCCTCCTCGCCTTGTATTTGCTGTGCTCCCTTGATAACAGTTCAGCATCTGGCCTTTTGTTTAGGCGGTATCACCTATCAGGCTGCTTTCCAAAACACTCAGAGTTCCCATCCAAACTACACTGTTTAGATCAAGACATCAAAATAATTTATTCAGTTCATTCCAACACTAGATTTTAGGAGCAGGTACAGATTAATAGGGAGCAAAAAATTCAGGTTATATGCATCAATGCAGACACGTCTTTGATAGGCCAAGATCATAATCATAATCCTTTTTGAGCCAATATATCAGACTGTATAAGTTAGCTCGTGAATTTGAACTTTTGTAATGGTGATACTGTGGATTTTACTGTTAAGACTGGAAATACTTCGTTTGTCCCATGTTTGGAAAAGGCGACCGCCTTCTTGGGAAGTCCACCACAACTGTTAAGGAGTTGAACGGATACACACAATATACCGATGAGGGTGATAAATCTACTGCAAAAAAAACCTATCCTGAAAACTCATGTGGCTACCTCGACATGACACTGGATGCGACAAGAAAGGTGGTTCTGACTGAGAAACCAAATGCTTATTGGCTAACGACTTGTGATTGACAACTACCAATTGACCCAAAACAAGTGACTGAACCCATGATCTCACCGGGAGTGTCCACAAAGGTCAAGACAGGTCCCAGACTTGTTAACCCTCTACTGCATAGCGTTGCCCTGAGGCAACAAACCACATTTTCATGCCTTACACTGGCCCTTCAAAAAAGAAAAACTTTTTTTTTTCGGAAATAATGCTACCAGGCATATCTCTTTCCAATAAAACGATGAGTTGAAGGTGGTGTGACTTTCATTTGGGGGGGGCAGGACCCCTTTCTGCAAGCTGCAGTACATGAGAGACCTCTCCATTAGGAGGCAAAATAAAGATCACTATTTTACATGTTTATAGTGAAATAAATGTATATTAAAAATACTTGTATGTGCATGAATATGTTAAGAAGCATATTTGTTTGTTCTACTTTTTTTCAATTTATTTATACAGTAAAAGTTAATTTTCATTCGTTGCCTCAAGGCAACACTGCGCAGTAAGCCTGATATTTTTTCTTTTTTGTTTCAGGCAATATAATGCATTTGCATATGTGTGTAGAGATGTGTTTGTGTGCATTTATATATGATCATAGTCAATGTTTTTTTTACTTTACAATCTACTCATAGTTAGAGGACATGGATGTAAATACCTTTTATGGAAGGAAACCAAGGGAATGTGCACTTTCTGTCCTCAGAAATGAGGAGTGGATCCCTGAATGAGGTTTGAGGGACACTTAGGAGCTCAGGGGTCAGTTGGTAAAGTAACTGTGTCTGTGTGTGTGTTAGTGCCCACACATCAAGCAGGTCTGGCCAGGATCTGGTATCAAGTCGGCACTGCTGGCTGACTTCTGACATGATAAGACGTATGTCATCCAGGCCTGGCATAGATGGCACTGTCTATGTGATGGCATGCCATATCTGGCTTGATTGTGGCTTGGTTTATGTGGCCCAGGCCTACAGAAAACAGGTCTGGCCCAGATCTAGAATCAAGCTGGCACGTCGGACTGACTGGTGTTTTGGCAGAATTTTTAGTGTAATAAAATGTGTATATGTTGGCTAAGATCATTTTTTTGTAAACATTGCTAAATGAAAAGCAGTTCTGCCATTAGCAAAGCTTAATGTGCAATTTTTCATGCCAAGTGTTGAATTACATGCAATATTAATTCTTGTGTAATTCTATATAATAACTGGGATCTCCTGCATATACATGGAGTGGAACATTATGGACATGGATATTTGAGATGTCTGTACACACACTTTAGTCGTGCTTTGTTGTGTGGGGCCCAGGCCTGGAAGCATTGTTTAAAACGATGTCATCTCCCATCCAGACTGTTTAGATTAGGAACACCAGCAGTGTGTGTGCGTGTGCGTGTGTGTGTGTGTGTGTGTGTGTGTGTGTGAACCAGTGCATTCCAGAATTTTCTCTGCAGCCGTGTTTATAAAAGACTTCCCAAGGGAACCTAAAGTTACCAAAAACAAAATTCCCCAGATTCTTGGCAGCTGCTTGTGTGTGTGGTCACTTCTTGCTTGCCATGTGATCTTGACTCACCTTGACATGACGGCAAGCTCCCCTCCCCCCAACCTCCGATGTGCTTCAGTCAGGCGGTGAGATGGGCGTCGCCCTTGCACATGGTTTCAATTTGAGGAGGGAGTCATTTCCTCGCTCTGAAGTTCTATTCCTTCAGAGAGATTTTCTGTTTCAGTAAACGATCTTGTTGTAGTCAGCACATTTTTTCTACTGATGCGGCACTATTTGTTTTTCTCGCCTAGTTGCCATGGATTATGGCTGAGCTGCAATCATGACGTATGAGAATAACTATCTGTAGTGCTCAAGTGATAATTTGGTCTTCCTTGTGCTTTCTTGAAACAGACTTTGATCCTGCCCCTCACTCGAATACTGTTATTTCATTTGTTTAAGCAAAAGCCTTCAATGCTAGACATATTTCAGGTCTTCCAATAAAAAATGAAATCTATAAAGTTTTAAATAAGAACACCTCTGCTAATCAGCTCTGTAATTCAGTTTTCTGTTCTGCAGCTCTGATGACAAGTTTCTTCTGATGTCCCTTGAGCTGGATCCCTGTGAAGATTATCCAATAATAGCAAAACTGCAAATTAAATCAGGAACATTTCTTAGCCTGAGCTGGCCACGTGTTTCTTTGCTGTCTGTTGGAACAAAAGAGGGTGCTCGCACAGTTATGCATACAGCAGTTTTGTCCTTGCGCAACTCTGTGAATGCAGTTCAAGTTTCTTGTTTTCCTTTGTTTTAGGATCTCCATACTATGACAACGTGAGGCCCCTGTCCTATCCCGACTCCGATGCTGTGCTCATCTGTTTCGACATCAGCCGCCCAGAAACGCTCGACAGCGTAATGAAAAAGGTTTGTTGCTCCTCTCGGGCAAATCCATGCAGGAAACACGTCTTTAGGCTCTATTTTTAAACATTCCACTCAAGTACTTTGATTTTTGTTTGAACTGGTGACAGAGGCCTGGATCAAAGGTCTGCAGTCATTTCTTTTTTCTGTGATCTCAGTCATGTGAAGTCGTATAGCTGTAATGTGACTTCAGTGTCAGGTCAAAACCCTGCTGTGGCTGGACGTGTCACTGGCTGATTCTCACATGTCCAAACGTGTGCTGTACATCAAGCAACACAGGTGGTGTCAGTCATCTGACTGGTGGAGAAACTACAAAATGTAAAAGTCATTATCTTCCCACATTAAAACACACCTGGCATGTGCTCCTATTTTTGCAAGGCATTTCCTGTTTTTGCGCTGCTTTCTGCCAACCTGGAATGTTTTCTCAAAGCAACTCACGTTTACCAGAATTAGCGGTCGAGACAGAAACAGTTTTGTCTCGCTCATTAGGAACAGAGATGACCTCAGATGCACTGAGATTTTTTGTCCCTTTCAGTCTGCCGCTTTGATGGGTAACATTAGTTATCTAACCATTTGTTGTCTTGTGTTGCACACTGTAATTGAACCTGTCGTGAGTAATTGGGAACACGTCATATACAGCTAATTGCTAAGCTTAAACTGAAGCTTAAAGTGCTTAAAGCTGTGCTAGTCGAAGAATGCATTTCAGACGATGAACGTCTACATGAGACTTAACCTCGGTTTAGGCTTTTAGGTTGTTCAGACACATTTTACAAACAAACTTCCTCCTCAGATGTCAATGAACTTGATCCCCTGACCAGCCAGACAGCCAGCCCTGAGGCACATTAGCCTCAGATTAAAGCCCCAAGAGAAATGCCATTGATCACAGAGCGTTTATTGTTGTCAGGGAGGAAACATGGAGATTACTTCTAGTTCCTTTCTAGGGTTCAAAGAAATGAGGGGCTTCAGGAAGTGGCAGCTTTAACCTTTGTACTTAAAGGGCAGGTGAGGGGGGGGATTTCATCAAATTCTTTATTACAGCAACAAACATTTGAACACACTCACAAGAAAAACATTGTTTTAAAACACAAAATTATTTTATTTTTATGTCAGAACTCCTGAATGATTGAGGCTATTTTGTCTTTCTTCACAGTGGAAAGGTGAGATCCAGGAGTTTTGTCCCAACACCAAGATGCTGTTAGTCGGCTGCAAGTCGGACCTGCGCACCGATCTGAGCACACTTGTGGAGCTTTCCAACCATCGACAAGCGCCAGTTTCTTACGACCAGGTTTGTAGATTAAAAGAACATTTTGAAATGGTAGATGGTTCCAATTTCCTGACTCTAATCAGGTCATTGCTGTGTTTAATTGACCCCTGTGAAAGTGTGCAAATCCTTTTGTTATTGACGCAAGCTCTTTACAAAAAACAGAATCTCAGTAAGCCTGAACGTTTTCCTTCTTAGGGTTCCAGCATGGCCAAGCAGATCTCGGCGCCCTACATCGAGTGCTCGGCCCAGCAGTCAGAAAACAGCGTCAGAGACATTTTCCATGTGGCCACGCTGGCCTGCATCAACAAAAACAACAAAAACGTCAAACGCAGCAAGACCGCCCGTGCTAGCAAGAGGATTTCACACATGCCTGGTAGACCTGACCTGGCGGCCGTGGCCTCGGACCTCCGGAAGGACAAAGCCAAAAGTTGCTCGGTCATGTGATTGCACCGACTAAATCAGATCAGACTGAGGAGAATGAGGACAGAGCACAGTGCAAGCAGGAAGTTATGGGGCAATGCTCCCTCCTGCATGCTAAAGACCCCTTATTTGTCTGGAAAGGGGTTCTATAAGCTTAATTCATGTACATGTTACTGGAATACTCTGCACCAATGAAAACTCAATGCATAGTAAGCATCCCACTCAACGCGGCCCCCACCCCTGCCCCACCAAAAGAGGAAGCTATCTATCACCTGCCTGGGGATGTGACCTGCTTCCTCTGGGAGGACAAAGCGGATGCAGTCAAGGCTTTCCATGCTAACAGGAAATGAGCAGAGGGAATGATGTCATTAGGAAATGCTCATTTATAAAAAGATGCGTAGGAACATGTGGTCTCCTGAATAAGAGCGAGAGCCGGCAATGGGGTGGTAGGTAGGGGGGTGCTGCCTCAGGGGGAGGAAATAAAGAGGAACTGCTGTTGTTTGTGCTGGATCAAAGACTTCTTCCTCGGAGGGCTTATACAAGAACTCGTCACTGTGGTTTGAAACTGATTCACTCCCACCTCTACTCCTGTAACTGTTAGTCTGTGTGCAGAACAGATTAGAAGAATTTCTTAATTTCTTTCAATGGAAACATGAAGCTGAGTGTCCCCTGTCTCTGATATGTTGTCGGTGTAATGTGAAGTCATTGGTGTATAACTGTGTCATTGCTTTATTTTCATCCTGATGAGATTGAACCAATACTACATTCTCTTACATCAGCAACTATGGATAGACTCATGAAAACAAATGCACACTGCAACAGTGCAGGTTAGCCTTTTTTTTTCTCCAAAAACAGAAATGGTGTACTTTAACCCTTTTGTTGGGCCCTAAATGGGTCCAGTGAGCTTTAGCTTAACAAAAATTAGCAACCAAAAATAGAACACTGTATATGAAATATGGACATAGCCACTGTGACTTATCCACAACCCTAATGCTAGCCACAACCATGTTGGGTTTTTTTGAACGAAAAGTTACATTTTGGACAAGAAGATGAAGTTGTGACTTAATGCTAACGAGCTTTGTTAGCTAGCTCCATTTGAATATAATACACAAATGTCAATTGACTGATAAAATACTAGAATTTTGCTCCCAGATCTGAGCTGGATGAAGATATATATAACTTGGATTAACAGAAGCAAACCACAGATAAAAGATAGATGTAGCAAGTGTGATTTCACCTACTGATTAGTAAGCTAGTCGGCTGCCATCTTGGTGATTTGAAATTAGATTTGAAGCGCACGAGGCAGATATGACTGAGATACCAATGGAGACCATGGAGACTGTATATTTACAGGTTGTTAGCTAACAGTTGTAGTTAGCTATATCCTTTGTTCTATAATGAGGATCATTACAATTCTTTCTCATTATGAACCAATTCTAGCAATTGAGCATATAAAATCAGAAGGTCGTCACAGAACAAAGGAGCTGAGAGCCGTTTCACCTTAGACCTACAACCAGTGTGTTTTTGCAGCCAGAGAAGTTTTTCCTTTGCTGGACGAGTTATAAAAACTGTTAAGAGGTGTCATCAAGGTTCAAACTATTTCCTGTACCAGCCTGCAGATATTATTATTTTTTTGTTTATTAATAAATGCTGTAAATATAGGCATTTTAATATAGGAGTCTTTGGGGATGGACTTGCTTTTGGAGCTAGCCCCAAGTGACATTAGAAAAACTGGAGTTTTTGGTATTTGGCTTACTTTCTCATCTTCTGGAGGATCCCCTCAATTTTAACAGGCTGGAATCTTTGCGTCACGAATCACAGCACATTAAAAGAGGATTCAAACAGAAGAAGATCAACAATAACTTACCCTAAATGTCCAAATTGGAGGAAGCTGTGGTCGATTAGCTAGACTACGAAAACCTCTGCAGGAATGAACCATCCCATGACAGGAACAGTTTTTGTCTCATACGGTAAATATCTGCAAACTGGATTACTGTATTGGTCACTGAATAAACGAGTGAGACAACCAAAGGATGAAGAACTTTGCTGATATGTGGTAAACTTGCTAAAGCTCAATTTAGTCTTACATGCTGAGTCTACCATGTAGCCTATGACAGATGGTATTGCCACCATTTGTACCTGTGTGGGCTATGTTGACTCAATGTGTAGGTTACATTTTTAGTACATTTCTGCACTTCAGTTTATCACGTAGGGCTTTAGAAGAGTTACATCATACTTATGGCGCAGATTTAATGCAGAAACATACATTCACTGTAATTAGAAGGACTTTGCCCTCTTCAGTATTAAAAGAAGAGATTATCAGATATTTGGAATACCATAAATGCCACAATACAGATTACATGTTTTTTTTTTAGTTTTTTTTTTAACTAGTCCACTTAGCAGTTAGCTTGCTAGCCCTCACTGCACTGCACGTTTCGCAAACCTCTGGAGATGAATTTTGCTGTTCGACTTTAAGCTGTGACCAGACCTTAACTCGGAAAGGATGATTGTATTTTTTTTCTTCCTTGGGTCATTTCAGTGTTTGAGTATCATGACCTCCGCAGTAATGTCACATAATGTAAGAGATTTGTGTCAATTTCAAAATTAGTCTTGAGAAACAAGTGTTTTTGAACTAGTGTTTTTTTCCTTCCTCTCAAACAACAGTGCAATGACGCAGCTGTTTAAATATCAACGGTATTGATGCACTTTTAATGTGACCATCAGTTTCTCAATTAGCTTGTTCAAATGCCAGTGCTGTCACATTTGTCAGCTCAGCGCCCGTGTCCCTATTTTCTTTTCCCAATCCTTTCTTTCCGGTGTATACACACGTTTTCTTGAATGTTGATGTCACCTTCAAAATGTCTTTGTCAATGTTGTTGCCATAATATTTATTGAATTCTATATTTTTCCCTTTAGAATAAATGCCAATAAAACTGAAGAGAAGTGTGTTTGTGTTCATTAAGGGAAGAAAGAGATCTCAGTTCATAAGTTCAGTATGTAGTTTGATTATGCTTCATGGATGGTCACGTACTGTTAAATTATGCCATGCAGACATTATAAGATTTATTGTGCTTTGAGTTCACAAAGGGAAGCTCTGATTTAGATCCTCTTTTGCTTTAGATTTCCAGCAGACTAGATGCCTCATGGCTACACTGACAATTCCAATAGAAACAACATCTACAACTCCAATGCATCTATGGGACAACCTCATTTATGCTTCTGTAAGAGAGCAATGTGCTTCGAGGCATGAAGTGTGCTAGAAATCCATTCAAAGAACCTAAAAAGGTGGCTTCAGCTATTGTGCTTGTTAAGAGAGATTCTGTACAGTCATTTATTTACTCTCCCATCAAAAATCCAAATCTCATACATTAAAGATAACCAGCTTATTGTTCTGCAACCAGACTGTTAAGATCCCCCCCATACTCCAACCCTTCCCAAAATGCATGTGAAAGTATGACCAATGTGGCAGAAACTTGACCCCATTTCAAGGGATTAGTCAGCAGGGGACAAATTCTAATCAGAATCAGGTTTTCTGTAAATAGTTTTAGAGTTTTCTGGTACACAGTTGCTTGATTGCTGTTTCTTAAACATTTATTCCTAGATACAGCAGCTTCACTGTGATGCCCATGCAATCATTCTCATTTTCACATACTCAGACACACTGTTTTGACAGTAAACCAAAGATGTTATGCAAGCAGAGGGGAATCTGGCATAGTAAAAACACACTTTATACCAAAATCAGATGCGGACACCTATGGAGCCCCCCCCTCCATAGGTGTCCCTTCATTCCAGCTCCATCTGAGTGTTTATATGTAAACAGATACCACAGCTATCTGAAGGAGCATGAAATGACTGTACCTGTTCACAAACCATATGTTTATCTCTTCTATTGATATATTCAATCATTTTGTACTTTAAAAAGTCAATAAATCTCCGTCTCTGGGCTGGGACCCGGACCGGGCCTCGGGGGCTTGGGTCC